CCGCTAAACTGGAGATAGGCTGCCTGTTTGAGAACAGTGCAGAGGCCAAGCTTTTTTGGTGACCCCCAAGAGAGCCGCTAAGCTAGAGATAGACTGCTTGACAGTGTAGAGGCCAAGTTTTTTTTTTTTAGCGACTCATGAGAGAGCCGCTAAGCTGGAGATAGGCTGCCTGTTTGAGAACAGTGCAGAGGCCAAGTTTTTTGGCGACCCGTGAGAGAACCGCTAAACTGGAGATAGGCTGCCTGTTTGAGAACAGTGCAGAGGCCAAGTTTTTTGGCGACCCGTGAGAGAGCCGCTAAACTGGAGATAGGCTGCCTGTTTGAGAACAGTGCAGAGGCCAAGTTTTTTGGCGATCCGTGAGAGAGCCGCTAAACTGGAGATAGGCTGCCTGTTTGAGAACAGTGCAGAGGCCAAGTTTTTTGGCGACCCGTGAGAGAGCCGCTAAACTAGAGATAGGCTGTCTGTTTGAGAACAGTGCAGAGGCTAAATTTTTTTGGCGATTCCTGAGAGAGCCGCTAAACTGGAGATAGGTTGCCTGTTTGAGAACAGTGCAGAGGCCAAGTTTTTTGGCGACCCGTGAGAGAGCCGCTAAATTGGAGATAGGCTGTCTGTTTGAGAACAGTGCAGAGGCTAAGTTTTTTTGGCGATTCCTGAGAGAGCCGCTAAACTGGAGATAGGCTGCCTGTTTGAGAACAGTGCAGAGGCAGGTCAAGTTTCTGGTGATCTGTGAGATGATTCACCTTGCCTAAACTTGTTGATTTCCTCAGCATTCATATATCTTTGAGCTTTTGTGAATAGTTCTGGCATGCTCTTTGGTGGTTGCTTTATTACTGAAAAAAGGAATCTGGATGAGCAGAGGCCTCCCAGGAAGGCAGTCATGGCGACTTTGTCATTGGGTTCCTCGATTTGGAGGACTTCCTCGTTAAAACAAGTGAGGTAACTCCTTAGACTTTCATTACGATCTTATTTTATGCTGAGCAGATGGATGACAGGTTGCTGCTGGCGGCGTCCACCAATGAATTGTGTCACAAAGGATCTGCTCAGTTCGGCGAAGGAGCCTATGGAGGCCGGGGTGAGTTTGGCGAACTATTGTCGCGCTGATCCCTTCAAGGTAATTGGGAATATCCTACACATAATTTCGTCGGAGACGCTGTGTAGTTGCATCNGGCCGGGGTGAGTTTGGCAAATCATTGTCGCGCTCATCCCTTCAAGGTAATTGGGAATGTCTTACACATAATTTCATCGGGGACGCTGTGTAGTTGCATCATGGTCTTAAAAGTTTCGAGGTGATCAAGTGGGTCCTTCGTACCGTCAAAGGTTTCAACGGATGACATTTTAAACTTCTTGGGAAGTGGGTAGTTCGTCACGTTAGGTACGAAGGGTGTGTTAGTTCNGTGATCAAGTGGGTCCTTCGTACCGTCAAAGGTTTCAACGGATGACATTTTAAACTTCTTGGGAAGTGGGTAGTTCGTCACGTTAGGTATGAAGGGTGTGTTGGTTCGACTTACGAGGCAGTCCACAGTCTCAGGTCTCTGTGCTTTCGTAGTGTTGAAAATGTCGTCTAGTTGATTTTGTACCTCTTTTATTTTTTTTCGTCCAAGTGGTTGGGAGCTCCTTTGGAATTATGTTGGAAATGGCTTTCATGTTCCATGCTCTGGTTCTCACCCTTGTCCTCTTGGAAAAGAAAGCCCCCACCATGAGAAAAGGGAGCTGGAAGAGGAGGTGGAGGTCCCCCGTGGGGAGCTCCCCTATGAAGGGCACCTAAGGGAACTCCAAAGGGGGCCGCCCAAATAGGGAGCAACAAGTTGTGGAGCTGCTTGATGTGCAGGGCGTGGAGCTCCTTGGGGTGCTCCATGTTGTGCACCTCCGTGAGGCCCTCCATGTTGTGCATCTCCGTGTTGTGCTCCTCCTTGGGGTCCTCCATATTGTGCACCTCCGTCAACAAGTTGTGGAGCTGCTTGATGTGCGAGGTGTGAAGCTCTTTTATGTCCAAGACGTAGAGCTCCTTGGGGTGCTCCATGTTGTGCACCTCCGTGGGGCCCTCCATGTTGTGCATCTCCGTGTTGTGCTCCTCCTTGGGGTCCTCCATATTGTGCACCTCTGTCAACAAGTTGTGGAGCTGCTTGATGTGCAAGGTGTGGAGCTCTTTTATGTCCAAGACGTGGAGCTCATTGGGGTGCTCCGTGTTGTGCACCTCCGAGTGGTGCTCCTCCTTGGAGTCCTCCATGTTGTGCACCTCCAAGTGGTGCTCCTCCTTGTCCAGCAAGTATGAGTTGCAGTAACTGTTGGTTTTGAGCAACCAGTTGTTGCATGGTCTCCAACATTTGCTGGGGATTCGGAGCTAGAGTATCCGGGACAGAGTTGGTAGGCGGGGGAGCAATCTCTTCCTCTCGTGGAGGATTGTCTTCAGGTTGATTCATGGATCGGGTAGTGATCGCCATTAGTTCAATAGATGTAATGTTCAGGAGTGAGAATTTTTTCGATTCCCACAGACAGCGCCAAACTAATGATGCACAAAAATGATTTTGCACACCACCTGTCAAGTGTAGGTAATAAATGCAGTGAAATCAATGAGAAAATTAAAGAAGACACGATTTATAGTGGTTCGGTCAATTCGACCTACGTCCACTCTTCAATGGCTTCAGTTGCCGGGTATTTTATTAATTCAGAGGTATGGAGAATAGAGATACAAGCTTTGAGAGAATGGAGAATCAAAAAAAGAGTGGTCTCCGGTCGTCGGTCTGTCCTCTGTAAGTGTTGGTGGGGCGTCACCTTCATCTCTCGTCTCCTCACAGATTGGGGCTACTTTATAGCAGCTAAGAGATCATTCTTGTGGAGATCATGACTTATCCTCAAGGCTACTTTATCGCAGCTAAGAGATCATTCTGGTGGAGATCGTGACTTATCCTCAAGGCTACTTTATCGCAGCTAAGAGATCATTCTGGTGGAGATCACGACTTATCCTCAACGGAAGGAGGAGGTTGGGGAGCTCTTCATGAAACGTGGTCAAAGCTTGGACCGTTTCCTTCGGTGGTGCAGATAAGCTTCTCATGCTCTCCTCTTGATGACGTGCTAAGCAAAAAGTCTAACCGGTCTTGGACTGTCTTGGGCTTGGTAGATTCAAAATGAGGTTGGGCTCCTCAACTGGAGTTGGACTTTAACACATAAATTGGACTATTTGGGCTTAACCCATCAGAAGCTACTGTGTTTGATTGTTGGGAACTCGTAGCCAAAAAAGTAATGACCAGATTAAGAAGGGCGTCTTATCTTATAAGTATAACAATGGCAAGTGCCTCCCCTGAAAGATTATAACTGGAAAACATCACGTGTTGGTTAGTTCTTCTCCTTTTTTGGCAAGAAATTCATCACTGAATAATTATTGAGATAAGTTGTCCTATATGTAATGGTCACTCATCTGTTCCTCTTAATCTTTAGTCAACTTAAATATTACCATTTTATAAGTCTCTATTAGTTTGATCAATAGACTGCTTAGGGAATCTTTATGAAACAATGGATAGCTAGGATATTGTAAGTAGGTAGCCCACTTTATGATGCAAATGTCAAATTATCGATTTGAATGTTCAAAGGTACTTATCAGCGGCGAAGATTTTTAGTAAGAGTTTTCTTTCTCAATGGATGTGAATTCAAAATGTAGCCAAGATACAAATTATAGCATGCAGAACATGGCAAAATTCTATAAATGCAATTTGGGAGTCCTTTATATCCAGTTTTTTGTTGGAATTGAGCATTTGTTCTTTGGAAAGGGATGAGTTGTGCCATTTTTGAACTTGTAATGTTGTTTATCTTCCTTTAGGATTTAGTATTATTGGAAAAATCCAATAAATTGTGTCTATATGAACATGTGTATATGTGCACTAGTATGACTATTGATGCATACAACATGCCTATCCATGTGTCTTCATAGTTGAGCAGCTAACAGTAGCAGAGTAAGAAAAAGAAATGTCCTTTTCCTTGTTGGATATGATATAATGCCCAAGATATTACAATCTATGGATTGTTTGAAGCCATTGGGGTCCTCTTCATTGCTCAATGACGGCCTGTGGCCTATGAAAAGAGGGACACATTTGTAAAGGGATTCGCTTCATGGTAAATGTTATGGAGTCTAGAAAAATCTATTTAGTTCTGGTGTTGTTTTACTATGGATCGGTAACCAGGCAGTGATCACCCTTATTCTTTATCTGAAGGCTAAACCTTTGTAAAAATGTTTATACTTCTTTTTCAAGGTGGGTTTGGCTGGTCAATGCTTTATCATGTAAGAATCAAGGAAGTTAATTGAGTGGTTTTGATATGATTATAGCATTGCATCACATTGAATACCTTTTTTTTTTAGATGCCTTATATTGGCTCAAGTGTTTCACTTTTGATGCAATGACAGAAAAATTAGTAGAAGAAACCCCGTCATGGCAGCAAGGAATGCTGTCAGATATGTCTCTCGGAGGTTCTCGAGCGGTGGCAAAGTACTTGGTGAGGAGGAAAAAGCTGCTGAAAATGTCTACATCAAGGTAATTCTAGTTGCCATTGATGTAAAATTTTCTTTTCAAGTGGCCTGGATTGTGCTTCTGCTACATGTCTGGCATGCATTTTGTTGTTTTTTCGTTTCAAATGCATGTCACCAAATTATGAACTCGGTCTATGGTTTTTGGATTTATATTGTATTAGCTTTCTCTCGCTTTTGAGCTTCCCATTGTAGTTGTATTTTATGGGAAGTCTGGAAATGATATACGATTTCAATGGTTTTTGAAGTAAGAAATTACTTTGTTGACCACGAGCTCTTGTCTATTCTTTCTGTCTCTTGCATTTTTTTAACAGTAACACACTTTCTTTTTCTCTCCCCCCCCTTTCTTTTGCCTCTTCCTTTATCTTAAATATATCCAACTCATACATCTGGAACGCCTTTTCTCATTGTTTTGGAAATTAAATGTCCAAGGTCTTGTATTGAATGGTGGAGTGATAGAGATTTTGCCTCCTTCAAGCTTTGCATAGATCTTGAATATTTCTCAAAGGCTATGCTAACATTGGTATGAAAAATGGAGTTGGTGGATCAATAGTTTGAAGTGTTGTATGTCAATTGGAGAGACCTAGGTTTACATTAAAAACTATTTTAAGAGCCATACTTCAGGTCTTTGTCTAATTTATTTGGGGAATTAAACTTGCTTGTTGGTTAAATTTCTATCTATAAAATTCTGCGGTTGATTACTTGTAAGGCATCTTGATGTAATTCCTTTTTCTTGCTGATTAAGAAAACTATTTTTCTTGTTATGAAAGGGCCTCAACTCATCCTTGATGGGCAAGTGGTTTTAGAGCTAATTCTTAGAGCATGCACAAGATAAAAATGGTTATCCTTGAGTTGGCTTAGAACTTCATCTCGGTGTTGTTAAAGGCTTGGATCTAGGCACATGTTTAGTATTTTCCGTATAATCTGCTTCATGCATGAGTGCACTCACAATCATATGGTTTTTTAGTATCTTTTCTAGAGTACCTAATGTTTTACCTGAGTGACCAAATGACATTATTGAATCTGAAATTGTCGTACCACAGTGGAAGAGATTTGCCCATATGCTGGTAGACTATTCAAAACTTCAGTTTCACACGTATGCTTGATTTTGCGTAGTTAGTTGTTCATCTTGGGAGATGCTATGTCTGGAAGAGTCTGATTTCTGATGTATGCACTGAATCCTATGGGTTTCCCTTAAAGAGTATTTAGACTCCTTTCTTTTCGTGTGCCCACAAGTTGCTGCAACCAAGTTTAATCATTCATTGAATGGCATAAGCAACCCATCCTGTACCCCTAACTTTTCTTCCCTCCTCAAGGCAAAATGTCCAGGAAGTTAAAGTTTGTGATTTTTATGGGGAAGGGTGGAGAGTGGGCACAAGGAACCATTGAGAAGTCCTATTTTTTAGATTGGGATTTTGTATTTCACAAGATATTTAACTGTCATATATTGGGCATGCACTTTGTATCTCTTTCACTAAATTCCGAACAAACTACTGACTGACTCAATAAATGATCAGAGAGACCCTACATAATCTCCTATTTATATTTTGTTGCACCAAGCTCTCTTTCTCTCTCTCTATCTCTCCCCCTCCTCTCTCCCTCTCCCTCTCCCCTTTACTTGTGCGAAACTTTGATGGCTTTTGTTCTTCTGAACTCTCTCTTCCTGCATTTTTATGTCCATTGTACAATTCTGTAACTGGTGAAACGTTTTGTGCTACTACAGAAAATCGAGAAAGAGAAACTGGAGAAACTTTCACGCAAGGTATGATCAAATTTATCTATGTTTTTCTTTGGTGGGTGGGATCATGTGGTGTCTCTGTGTAGGTATGTTGGGTTAAAAATGGTGATTAAATTACATAAATAACCCTTGATTTATACAGCTTGTTTCAATAAGTCCTTGAACTAAATTTAGTGAAAGTTGATCCCTTCAACTTTAGCAATAGCACATGCTATCCATAAGCATATAAATGATTTCGTTTCCACCCACAACCACTACTTCATTTTCCATTTCGATGCTAAATCTGTGTCTCAAAGAGATATGTTTTTATTTTTTGATATCTGAAGCCTATGCTTATGCTAGTCATGATTTTTAATCTCTGTCTCAAAGAAATATGTTTTTATTTTTGGATTTCTGAAGCCTATGCTTGACAGATGAATGTTTTTAGGGACCTCAACCAGAAGAAAAACCAGCAACAAGCTCGGGGGGTTCAGGATCTGTATCTGATGCTAAACCAAGTAGTTCCACCTCGTCAACATCAGGAGTATCAAGTGACAAGTACCGAAACTATGCAGTTGTAGCTGGTGTCGTGACTGGTTTTGGGGCTCTGGGATGGTACCTTAAATCAAGGGAAAAGAAATCGGAAGAGGTTCAAGACTGATGTTTTTGGAGTTGCTTGGTTACAAAGAGGAGGAGGTATTAATGGTTGTGTTCAAGTTTCTGGCGTTCGAATAGTAGTTAGATGAAAATAAAACAAACCTATGTATGAATCTACGTCAGGGTTATACTTTTTCTTGTAACCTGAAATGGGTTTTTGTCCAATCTTATCTACCATTCGGTATTTGGATTCTCTCCCCATTTGACAGGAAAAAAAAATTGTGCTGGTTTTGGTTTTGTTAATGGCTTGCCATATATCTACCCTTCTACATGTCCTCTTCATGCTTCTTGGAACACTAGCATCATGTATTTGATGCATTGACAAGCTCAGATAATGGCTAGAGGTAGAATGCGACAGGGTTTGGCTGAGCAAGCTCAATTGAGCGCTTCAACCTAACTTGGTATACGGAGGGCTGCTGCTTCAACCTAACTTGCCCCTGCTTCCTCGGGGACAGAACCGGAGGAGAGATTAAGAAATACTTACAATATACATGTTGATACTAAGGGGAGTGTTTAGAAAGTGTGCTGCTAGTAGAGGTCATGATACACAGTCGGACTGCTAACATACCACATGACAAATGAGTTAAGACTATGGTTTCGGTACTGTAACGTAGAGATTCATGGTAAGTGTCAAATATTGCCATCATGAACCAACATGGTCATTGAATTTCGTCAAGAATGGAAATATGAGAAGAAAATGCCAAATGAAAAAAAAAAGAAGAAGCAGGTAATACTAGAAGTGAATCTCCTTAATTTTAGATACTCACCCCACCCCCATTAATCCTCTCAATTTCGAGTTTTATTAATTTTAATAAATTTTTTTCTTCTATCGTTGATTGATTAGATCCCATTGGTCAGTTTTTATTGGACACATTAATATCAAAACGATAATACAGTGTGGTGTGATCATATTCAATATTCATATTGAAATTTATGATGTTTCGTTAGTGTATAAAGTTAATGTTGGTTAAAGTTATAAAGTTTTTATTAGGTTAAATTAGTCTCCAAACCTAAAGGATGTGAAAATGGTACGTACTGGAGAGTTCATTGCCTTTGTTTCTTGGGACCTACTGTACACAAGGATAAAAAGAAGCAATACAATAGTTTGGGTTGACTGAGGAACCCTGACCTCCCATTAACACAAGTGTTTGAGAATAAATGATAAGTGATGATATTATTCATGACTAGCCAAACTTATATAGGCAGCAGCCTCAACGTTCACAACCATGAAATTAGGGAAAGAAGTTGCACCCACTACTTCCCTTAAAACCACGTCAAACTTAACTACTAACAACTATCAATAAAAACTAGGATTACTTTCAGCAAGGATAACTACTTAAGCAGGAGTATTATTTGAAAGGACATAAATAAAAAACAATAAAAGCAGTCACGTNCAATAAGTCCTTGAACTAAATTTAGTGAAAGTTGATCCCTTCAACTTTAGCAATAGCACATGCTATCCATAAGCATATAAATGATTTCGTTTCCACCCACAACCACTACTTCATTTTCCATTTCGATGCTAAATCTGTGTCTCAAAGAGATATGTTTTTATTTTTTGATATCTGAAGCCTATGCTTATGCTAGTCATGATTTTTAATCTCTGTCTCAAAGAAATATGTTTTTATTTTTGGATTTCTGAAGCCTATGCTTGACAGATGAATGTTTTTAGGGACCTCAACCAGAAGAAAAACCAGCAACAAGCTCGGGGGGTTCAGGATCTGTATCTGATGCTAAACCAAGTAGTTCCACCTCGTCAACATCAGGAGTATCAAGTGACAAGTACCGAAACTATGCNTATGAACTCGGTCTATGGTTTTTGGATTTATATTGTATTAGCTTTCTCTCGCTTTTGAGCTTCCCATTGTAGTTGTATTTTATGGGAAGTCTGGAAATGATATACGATTTCAATGGTTTTTGAAGTAAGAAATTACTTTGTTGACCACGAGCTCTTGTCTATTCTTTCTGTCTCTTGCATTTTTTTAACAGTAACACACTTTCTTTTTCTCTCCCCCCCCTTTCTTTTGCCTCTTCCTTTATCTTAAATATATCCAACTCATACATCTGGAACGCCTTTTCTCATTGTTTTGGAAATTAAATGTCCAAGGTCTTGTATTGAATGGTGGAGTGATAGAGATTTTGCCTCCTTCAAGCTTTGCATAGATCTTGAATATTTCTCAAAGGCTATGCTAACATTGGTATGAAAAATGGAGTTGGTGGATCAATAGTTTGAAGTGTTGTATGTCAATTGGAGAGACCTAGGTTTACATTAAAAACTATTTTAAGAGCCATACTTCAGGTCTTTGTCTAATTTATTTGGGGAATTAAACTTGCTTGTTGGTTAAATTTCTATCTATAAAATTTTGCGGTTGATTACTTGTAAGGCATCTTGATGTAATTCCTTTTTCTTGCTGATTAAGAAAACTATTTTTCTTGTTATGAAAGGGCCTCAACTCATCCTTGATGGGCAAGTGGTTTTAGAGCTAATTCTTAGAGCATGCACAAGATAAAAATGGTTATCCTTGAGTTGGCTTAGAACTTCATCTCGGTGTTGTTAAAGGCTTGGATCTAGGCACATGTTTAGTATTTTCCGTATAATCTGCTTCATGCATGAGTGCACTCACAATCATATGGTTTTTTAGTATCTTTTCTAGAGTACCTAATGTTTTACCTGAGTGACCAAATGACATTATTGAATCTGAAATTGTCGTACCACAGTGGAAGAGATTTGCCCATATGCTGGTAGACTATTCAAAACTTCAGTTTCACACGTATGCTTGATTTTGCGTAGTTAGTTGTTCATCTTGGGAGATGCTATGTCTGGAAGAGTCTGATTTCTGATGTATGCACTGAATCCTATGGGTTTCCCTTAAAGAGTATTTAGACTCCTTTCTTTTCGTGTGCCCACAAGTTGCTGCAACCAAGTTTAATCATTCATTGAATGGCATAAGCAACCCATCCTGTACCCCTAACTTTTCTTCCCTCCTCAAGGCAAAATGTCCAGGAAGTTAAAGTTTGTGATTTTTATGGGGAAGGGTGGAGAGTGGGCACAAGGAACCATTGAGAAGTCCTATTTTTTAGATTGGGATTTTGTATTTCACAAGATATTTAACTGTCATATATTGGGCATGCACTTTGTATCTCTTTCACTAAATTCCGAACAAACTACTGACTGACTCAATAAATGATCAGAGAGACCCTACATAATCTCCTATTTATATTTTGTTGCACCAAGCTCTCTTTCTCTCTCTCTATCTCTCCCCCTCCTCTCTCCCTCTCCCTCTCCCCTTTACTTGTGCGAAACTTTGATGGCTTTTGTTCTTCTGAACTCTCTCTTCCTGCATTTTTATGTCCATTGTACAATTCTGTAACTGGTGAAACGTTTTGTGCTACTACAGAAAATCGAGAAAGAGAAACTGGAGAAACTTTCACGCAAGGTATGATCAAATTTATCTATGTTTTTCTTTGGTGGGTGGGATCATGTGGTGTCTCTGTGTAGGTATGTTGGGTTAAAAATGGTGATTAAATTACATAAATAACCCTTGATTTATACAGCTTGTTTCAATAAGTCCTTGAACTAAATTTAGTGAAAGTTGATCCCTTCAACTTTAGCAATAGCACATGCTATCCATAAGCATATAAATGATTTCGTTTCCACCCACAACCACTACTTCATTTTCCATTTCGATGCTAAATCTGTGTCTCAAAGAGATATGTTTTTATTTTTTGATATCTGAAGCCTATGCTTATGCTAGTCATGATTTTTAATCTCTGTCTCAAAGAAATATGTTTTTATTTTTGGATTTCTGAAGCCTATGCTTGACAGATGAATGTTTTTAGGGACCTCAACCAGAAGAAAAACCAGCAACAAGCTCGGGGGGTTCAGGATCTGTATCTGATGCTAAACCAAGTAGTTCCACCTCGTCAACATCAGGAGTATCAAGTGACAAGTACCGAAACTATGCAGTTGTAGCTGGTGTCGTGACTGGTTTTGGGGCTCTGGGATGGTACCTTAAATCAAGGGAAAAGAAATCGGAAGAGGTTCAAGACTGATGTTTTTGGAGTTGCTTGGTTACAAAGAGGAGGAGGTATTAATGGTTGTGTTCAAGTTTCTGGCGTTCGAATAGTAGTTAGATGAAAATAAAACAAACCTATGTATGAATCTACGTCAGGGTTATACTTTTTCTTGTAACCTGAAATGGGTTTTTGTCCAATCTTATCTACCATTCGGTATTTGGATTCTCTCCCCATTTGACAGGAAAAAAAAATTGTGCTGGTTTTGGTTTTGTTAATGGCTTGCCATATATCTACCCTTCTACATGTCCTCTTCATGCTTCTTGGAACACTAGCATCATGTATTTGATGCATTGACAAGCTCAGATAATGGCTAGAGGTAGAATGCGACAGGGTTTGGCTGAGCAAGCTCAATTGAGCGCTTCAACCTAACTTGGTATACGGAGGGCTGCTGCTTCAACCTAACTTGCCCCTGCTTCCTCGGGGACAGAACCGGAGGAGAGATTAAGAAATACTTACAATATACATGTTGATACTAAGGGGAGTGTTTAGAAAGTGTGCTGCTAGTAGAGGTCATGATACACAGTCGGACTGCTAACATACCACATGACAAATGAGTTAAGACTATGGTTTCGGTACTGTAACGTAGAGATTCATGGTAAGTGTCAAATATTGCCATCATGAACCAACATGGTCATTGAATTTCGTCAAGAATGGAAATATGAGAAGAAAATGCCAAATGAAAAAAAAAAGAAGAAGCAGGTAATACTAGAAGTGAATCTCCTTAATTTTAGATACTCACCCCACCCCCATTAATCCTCTCAATTTCGAGTTTTATTAATTTTAATAAATTTTTTTCTTCTATCGTTGATTGATTAGATCCCATTGGTCAGTTTTTATTGGACACATTAATATCAAAACGATAATACAGTGTGGTGTGATCATATTCAATATTCATATTGAAATTTATGATGTTTCGTTAGTGTATAAAGTTAATGTTGGTTAAAGTTATAAAGTTTTTATTAGGTTAAATTAGTCTCCAAACCTAAAGGATGTGAAAATGGTACGTACTGGAGAGTTCATTGCCTTTGTTTCTTGGGACCTACTGTACACAAGGATAAAAAGAAGCAATACAATAGTTTGGGTTGACTGAGGAACCCTGACCTCCCATTAACACAAGTGTTTGAGAATAAATGATAAGTGATGATATTATTCATGACTAGCCAAACTTATATAGGCAGCAGCCTCAACGTTCACAACCATGAAATTAGGGAAAGAAGTTGCACCCACTACTTCCCTTAAAACCACGTCAAACTTAACTACTAACAACTATCAATAAAAACTAGGATTACTTTCAGCAAGGATAACTACTTAAGCAGGAGTATTATTTGAAAGGACATAAATAAAAAACAATAAAAGCAGTCACGTAACAATTCCCTTCCCCTTAAAAAGCAGCCTTCTCCTTAAGGCAATATTCAGGAAACTGCTGCTTCATGGTTACCATATCTTCCTAAGTAGCTTCAGCAGGTGATAATCCTTGCCACTCGTCCTTTTTCTTACGCACCCGACGATCCAGAACTGCTTGCGAGGAACAAGAATTTCATCTTCATGCGTACAATTGGGAGCATGCTTTGTATAGGAAGGTTTTCACCAATCTTTTTCTTCAACAGTGAGACATGAAAGATGGGATGGATACGCGAATCCTTAGGCAGGTCCAATTTATATGCCACAACCCCTATCTTCTTAGCAATTTGGAATGACCCATAATACTTAAGAGAAAGCTTTGAGATTTTTTCTCATTGCTATGGATGCTTACCGATATGGATGGAGCTTAAGATAAACCCAATCTCCCTCTTCAAATTTCCTTTCTCTATGATGACGGTCATACATTTTCTTTATGTGTGACTGTGATTCCTTCAGTGTTGCCCGCAAATCTTTAATAATCTGATCGTGATCCATTAACTGTTTCTCCACAGTGTCAACCTTTGCTATGCCGAGAATGTAGGACAATAAAGTTGGTGGTGGCCGACCATACACAACTTCAAAAGGGGTCATTTTAATAGCTGAATTCCAATTGGTATTATAGCAATACTCAGCCCATGCTAGCCACTTACTCCACCTCTTCGGTTGTGAACTCGAGAAACATCGCAAGTACATCTCCATTGTATGATTTATAACTTCACTTTGACCATCAGTTTGGGGATGATACACCGAATTATAGTTAAAGTTAGTGTCATTCAACTTAAATAATTATGTCCAGAATAAACTTGTGAATGTCGGATCTCGATCACAAACAATGGTTCTTGGCATTCCATGCAATTTGAAGATATCATCAAAGAAAATTCGTGCAACTCTAGTAGTCGTGTATGGATGTGACAAGGAAAGAAAATGAANTTGCTTGGTTACAAAGAGGAGGAGGTATTAATGGTTGTGTTCAAGTTTCTGGCGTTCGAATAGTAGTTAGATGAAAATAAAACAAACCTATGTATGAATCTACGTCAGGGTTATACTTTTTCTTGTAACCTGAAATGGGTTTTTGTCCAATCTTATCTACCATTCGGTATTTGGATTCTCTCCCCATTTGACAGGAAAAAAAAATTGTGCTGGTTTTGGTTTTGTTAATGGCTTGCCATATATCTACCCTTCTACATGTCCTCTTCATGCTTCTTGGAACACTAGCATCATGTATTTGATGCATTGACAAGCTCAGATAATGGCTAGAGGTAGAATGCGACAGGGTTTGGCTGAGCAAGCTCAATTGAGCGCTTCAACCTAACTTGGTATACGGAGGGCTGCTGCTTCAACCTAACTTGCCCCTGCTTCCTCGGGGACAGAACCGGAGGAGAGATTAAGAAATACTTACAATATACATGTTGATACTAAGGGGAGTGTTTAGAAAGTGTGCTGCTAGTAGAGGTCATGACACACAGTCGGGCTGCTANCAGGAGTATCAAGTGACAAGTACCGAAACTATGCAGTTGTAGCTGGTGTCGTGACTGGTTTTGGGGCTCTGGGATGGTACCTTAAATCAAGGGAAAAGAAATCGGAAGAGGTTCAAGACTGATGTTTTTGGAGTTGCTTGGTTACAAAGAGGAGGAGGTATTAATGGTTGTGTTCAAGTTTCTGGCGTTCGAATAGTAGTTAGATGAAAATAAAACAAACCTATGTATGAATCTACGTCAGGGTTATACTTTTTCTTGTAACCTGAAATGGGTTTTTGTCCAATCTTATCTACCATTCGGTATTTGGATTCTCTCCCCATTTGACAGGAAAAAAAAATTGTGCTGGTTTTGGTTTTGTTAATGGCTTGCCATATATCTACCCTTCTACATGTCCTCTTCATGCTTCTTGGAACACTAGCATCATGTATTTGATGCATTGACAAGCTCAGATAATGGCTAGAGGTAGAATGCGACAGGGTTTGGCTGAGCAAGCTCAATTGAGCGCTTCAACCTAACTTGGTATACGGAGGGCTGCTGCTTCAACCTAACTTGCCCCTGCTTCCTCGGGGACAGAACCGGAGGAGAGATTAAGAAATACTTACAATATACATGTTGATACTAAGGGGAGTGTTTAGAAAGTGTGCTGCTAGTAGAGGTCATGATACACAGTCGGACTGCTAACATACCACATGACAAATGAGTTAAGACTATGGTTTCGGTACTGTAACGTAGAGATTCATGGTAAGTGTCAAATATTGCCATCATGAACCAACATGGTCATTGAATTTCGTCAAGAATGGAAATATGAGAAGAAAATGCCAAATGAAAAAAAAAAGAAGAAGCAGGTAATACTAGAAGTGAATCTCCTTAATTTTAGATACTCACCCCACCCCCATTAATCCTCTCAATTTCGAGTTTTATTAATTTTAATAAATTTTTTTCTTCTATCGTTGATTGATTAGATCCCATTGGTCAGTTTTTATTGGACACATTAATATCAAAACGATAATACAGTGTGGTGTGATCATATTCAATATTCATATTGAAATTTATGATGTTTCGTTAGTGTATAAAGTTAATGTTGGTTAAAGTTATAAAGTTTTTATTAGGTTAAATTAGTCTCCAAACCTAAAGGATGTGAAAATGGTACGTACTGGAGAGTTCATTGCCTTTGTTTCTTGGGACCTACTGTACACAAGGATAAAAAGAAGCAATACAATAGTTTGGGTTGACTGAGGAACCCTGACCTCCCATTAACACAAGTGTTTGAGAATAAATGATAAGTGATGATATTATTCATGACTAGCCAAACTTATATAGGCAGCAGCCTCAACGTTCACAACCATGAAATTAGGGAAAGAAGTTGCACCCACTACTTCCCTTAAAACCACGTCAAACTTAACTACTAACAACTATCAATAAAAACTAGGATTACTTTCAGCAAGGATAACTACTTAAGCAGGAGTATTATTTGAAAGGACATAAATAAAAAACAATAAAAGCAGTCACGTAACAATTCCCTTCCCCTTAAAAAGCAGCCTTCTCCTTAAGGCAATATTCAGGAAACTGCTGCTTCATGGTTACCATATCTTCCTAAGTAGCTTCAGCAGGTGATAATCCTTGCCACTCGTCCTTTTTCTTACGCACCCGACGATCCAGAACTGCTTGCGAGGAACAAGAATTTCATCTTCATGCGTACAATTGGGAGCATGCTTTGTATAGGAAGGTTTTCACCAATCTTTTTCTTCAACAGTGAGACATGAAAGATGGGATGGATACGCGAATCCTTAGGCAGGTCCAATTTATATGCCACAACCCCTATCTTCTTAGCAATTTGGAATGACCCATAATACTTAAGAGAAAGCTTTGAGATTTTTTCTCATTGCTATGGATGCTTACCGATATGGATGGAGCTTAAGATAAACCCAATCTCCCTCTTCAAATTTCCTTTCTCTATGATGACGGTCATACATTTTCTTTATGTGTGACTGTGATTCCTTCAGTGTTGCCCGCAAATCTTTAATAATCTGATCGTGATCCATTAACTGTTTCTCCACAGTGTCAACCTTTGCTATGCCGAGAATGTAGGACAATAAA